ATTGCTCCCTAACCCAGTCCTCATCAACCACACGAGAGTGCCATAGTCCTAACACACAGTATGTTGTAAGTAGTGCAAAAAGGCACAGGAGATATTTTAAGGCATCCTTAGATATTAATAACTCATCAAAGGTTGAAATGAAGACATTGAATGCAGTCAGTTCAAATGCTTTAATTTATGTTCTGTCTTAACTTCTCTTGCAAAGGAAATGCTAATTCGCATCTCATCTATTCCCTGTGAAATTGATCTCTTATATCCTTTTCAAAGGTGCTAAATGAAATAGACTTTGTTGCCAGTGAGATAAAGGGAAATTAGCACGTTTGTTTCAGTTTGGGGAGGGACAAGACAGGAACTGGCAGAATCATCCAAGCCCCAACTTCTTCGATTCATATACCCCATTTCTGACACATAAAACCACCACTTGCTTCAGAAGAAAAGACACAAAGAAAATACCTACCCCTGTCAACCCCACCGTGATATTCCCTTCTCAGGACAATAATGAGAGATTGTCAGGAGCCCTGAAGTGTATTTGTTAATATTTTATTCCAAGTAACATCCAGAGAAGTTTCTAAACTGACATATTAACAACATTAATATTAATAACAATATTAACAGCACCTAACTTACTAAGGCCCACAGACATGTACAGCATCAAAGTGAGAGTTTCACCATCAAGCCATACAACTGATCTTGCTGCTAGATGTCAGCGATGCCAGCTGCCAGGATGGTCAGCTCAGTTCCCTGTACAGGCACTGGGGAAAAACAAACATTTGAATGGGCTTTGCCTCCTGCAGTGCTTTTGGATGAGAACTGCACCCTGACCATGCTTGTTTATCCCCATAGGAGTAAGGATGATTAGTGAAGCAGCACAAGCCTGCATTGATTACACTCACATATGGACAGATAGGTCTGTCACTTAGGTCTCTGGATGAGTGTGTACTGAAACTACTGTTCCAGCAGAAAACACTCTCTAGGGCAAATAATAAATTTCTGCCATTTGCCAAACACGAAGTGCCTTCTTATTCTGGCCCAGAAACACAGTCCCCACTTCTTTCTTCTGAGAAATTGCTTCAGTTTTTTCAATAATGGCCTGCTCACTTGCTGGTGGTATTTCCCAGAATAACACCACCAAGTATTGTACCAATTTCTCATCAGAGGCAAGGAACCCTGCAAAAGAAAGGAGCTGTTCCTGGCCACTGCTCAGTCAGCTGTGTCCTAAATAATTATTTCTCCTAGGCTCTACTGCTAAAAAGAAAAAACTTTAGGAAACAGTATACATGGAAAATATAAAAGCCCATTTGCCAATACTGCCGTTTGTCTACTGAAGTATGAAATAAAACAATATTGCCCTGTGTGTTTTTTTTTCAAATTCAGCTTTTACAGACTGAACTTATATATTAGCTTCCTGGCTTTCTGGAGTGAATTTGGACTGTGTCATCCTCCTTTGAGGTAGAAATAAAGAAGGGAACCGCCTTACCTGAGTCACTTTCAGATCTCTGTGGAGGGATAGCGTGTCTTCTTGGGGATCGTGATTACTGTCTTCCTGCATACTGTCTTCCTGTTTCCATACAAAACTGAAAACATTTCCAGCTGATAGGAAAGCATGTGATTTTTAAAATTTTTTTTGTTTTATTTTCATTTTGGTTTGGTGGCTGAACTGTAAGTCAGTTATTTGCACATTTCTCCTCTTAGCTCTGCTTTTAGCTCAGCCACTGAATACTAGCAGAAAGATGCACACTATCCAGTTACATTCAACCAGTCACAAAACATCTCCCAGCAAATATTTGTAAATTTCTTTAATGTCTCTTCTAAAGAACATATTTAGCTTATGCTAAACAATCATAAGCTCAAACATAAAACAAGTCAGTCCTTTAAGGTAACTTTCTACTAGTTCAGAGTTAATGAGTGGTGGCACTGCAGAACTGTCAGGCGCTTAATACCTATTAAAGGTCATAATGGACACCCTATCAATATCTACACATGATTTCATTATTAGTTAAATTTCAGCCTTAAGAACAAAAAGCCAAATGCCGGTTCAATAATATTGGAAGCAACAAGTGCAAAAGAGCTGGCCTTTTGTCCCATTCAGTCAACACTAGCCTTTTTAGGCTTTTATATCTCTGTTTGAAATGTCAGGTATTCTGGCTATCATGTTAGGTTTGTTCCTTACCTTCCCACTCTCCCCTCCTGTTTTAAAGGTCACGGACATGATAAATCCAGAACGTCCTGACAAATAATTTTATGTGTTCTACTGACATAAGGTTTGAGTCATCTGGACCCATTCCCTCTGCCTCAGCTAGTCTATTGAACACCAATCACACAACAGTGACTTTGCACTTTGCTTTGATCCAATTATCTAGTACAAAGCTTCAGTGACTATTGTCAGGGCTGACAACACTGCTGTCTAAGCAATGAAGCCACTGGGGCTCATAGCACAAATCTAACTGTTTCCTGTTCTCTGACACCAGATGCAGTAAATTGCATTTACTCCCAGATCCCTGAACTCCCAACCCTCTATTCACGAACAGCAGAGCCAGTTCCTGGGCGGGACGGAGCAAGCAGAGTAGCTGGTAAGTCTCAAGGAACAAGGTATTATAATACCAGTCCAATAGCCATGAACTTTTTTTGTTATATTACCTTAATGGGTCTGGTGTCCCAATATCATTTAAATGCCAGGAAATGCCACTTGATTTGTGTTTTGTAAATAAGTCAAGGTTTTTTGAGCAGCAATGAGTGCTCTCAAAGCAGTGTTGTTGAACCACAGACAAGTAGCATAGGAAACGAATCCATTTTTTTAATGTGGAAATGTTAAGTTCTTTCCATCTCTGCTGATACAAATACATGGTATCTAGGCCAAGGTTTTGTCTCCTCCGTTGTACCCATGCAACTCCCATTAAGATGAATGAGACAGATAGGCACTCACAAGTTCTCATACATGCTTCAGACTTTCATGTTTTGTACTTCCTTGTATATCATTCTTTCTTTTGGGGGAAAAGATGGAGAGAATTACAGCATGTTTTGTACTTGGAGTTACACAGAGAATTTCCTAACGCTTATATTTCAGATTGAGTATGTGTCTTAAATGTAACAATGTGATTGTTAAAAACGATATGTTTTTCTTACTTTCAAGATCCTTCTTTTCTAAAAAATGTTTAGAATTCCCTTTCTCAAGACTAAATTGCTGTGGCTACTTAAGGGGTGTCCCAAAGAGTGGTGGCTTATTTGAGGAATGGGTTAACAAGCATAGCAAAGCAATGTCTGCAGCTAAAGCACTGTACACAGCTATGGGATATGTCATTTTGTTCAGAGGTCCTGTTGCAAGCCATTCCAAAAGCTTCCCTTCCACCAGTGCTTTCCCTGATCTGTCTTAAAAGCAAGCTTTTCCCTGTGTGTTTTGTGCTGGTTTGTGCCATTTCTTCAACACCAAGAACACAGTAATTTCTTTCATTCTTCAAATGACCCAAAAGCCTTGTTCATGTAGTCCTTGATAAGCATATTGTGGGTGTGCAGTAGCTTAAAGAAAAGACACCAGTGTTTGTGCTTAAAGGAAGACTGTAAGCATCCATCTTAAAACAAGCTCAAAGTCTAAATAAGATTAAAAAAAAAATAAAAATAAAAACCTCTGAATCTGCATAACAGGCAGAAGCCAGATCCTTTCATCTGCATGTTGGGGTCTTGTTGACATAAAGCACTGCATCATGTTAACATGATGCACTGTAATTAAAATATGTGCAGAAAACATACTTGTGAATATGGGCTGTCATCTTCAAGTACTGCTTTCAGTTTCAACTCTATTGTCAGATAGTTTTGTACTGTATTAATAGAGCACATTTTGCGGTAAATAAGCACTGGTTAAATAAAGACATTTTAGAAATCAACGTTAGTTTGATTTTCAGCTACTTTGACAAGCTGGGCTGCTAGGTTTTGCTGCACAGAATGAACATTACACATACAGGCAGATAAGCTGGGTTCTGCTATTCACTTCTCCGGTAGTAATGCGTTTCACTTGTGAACAGCTTTCTAAGAAACTCACATACGATATACATTTACTTGCACATGAAGCTTTAATGTCATCCCCGGGACAGGTCATAAACTGTATGTTATGTTAGTATCTTAAAAAGACACTGCTGCTGAAATCATGGCAGAAGAAATGAAAAGAAAATGTTGATGGTGGCAAATGCTTAAGCAAGTTAGCTAAACATAAAATACACAAATTACGCATCTATTAGCTTTCTAGAGCAGATCAGCCAGTAGGACAGAGTTTCACAAGCAGAGTTTCACAAGCAACTTGTTGCCCAAAGCCTTCCTAATAAGTAAGACATTTTTTTCTTATCAGTACTCCATACCACAGATAAAAATATGTATCTTGCAACTCTTCTTGAATATGGCCAGGTCCACAGGATTTAGCTGTTAGATTTTCCCCTATCTGCTTGTGAATTCAGGTCCATTATACAAGCCTTCTTTTAATGCAGACTACTGAACTAAATTTGTTCACCAAAACAGGGAGGGTTTGGCAGATTATACCCTCTTCTGCACTAAAAGTATGTGCAATAACATGACACTCAACTATTTCACAGAAAAAGCAGTGGCCTTTACTGAAAGGTCATGCCCCAGATAATATTTTTATTTCTGAAAGGAGAAGCACAGGAGTTCTAGGGAGCTCAGGATGCTACTTCTCACCAAGAATACCTGGCAAGGCCCTCTCTGCAGGTCTGTGGTGTTCAGGACAAACCAGGAACTTCTGACCATCAGAGATACTTTTCTGGATGTGCTGCTGCTCCCTCATAGCTCAGCTTTGCTTCAGTTCAGCTGGTTGCCACTCAAAAACCTGCCAGTATGTCAGTTTTCATATCTTCTCCATAGACTAGCCAACTTGGCCCCTGTAGTACTGGAAGTTATTGAACAGTATCTTCCTGAGCAGCCTTGGCAAATTCAAGTGGTGTTCAGATCCCACTCACCTAAGGCCAAGCTAAAAATCCAAATTCCTCTTCCTTCCCTCGCCCCTATCACTCCCACCCAAGAACGGCACCTAGAAGGAGGCAGATGGCAAAGTGTTAGTAGTGCCACTTGCATCTTTTTGTTTCATTACCTCTGGATTAAAGGCTTCAGGGCAGAGGTACTTGCATGAGACTTGAAGGGCATTTGCCCACCAGCTCCTGGGCTGGGTCAGTCCCAGGCAAGTGACCTATGCCAGCTGCTCTTGCCACAGCTCCTTGGAGCAACCTGCTCCAGGGCTTAGCTGCTACTGGCATTGGGGCAGCTGTTTTTCCTTATTTCCAGCCTAAAACTCCTGTTTCATTCCATGCTGCACACCTTGGAGCAGCACCCACCTCTCACTCCTGCAGCCTGTGGGATGGCCAGGCATGAAAACTCCAGCACAGGGAGGGAGATTAGAAAACTGATACTCCTACATCATTGTGAAAATGAGCATCCTGTACTTGGGGTTATGACAGCTATGGACACAGCTAGTCCATAAACCTCCCAAAGCCATGGTAAAACACAGTTCTTGGGGATATTCCCCTAGCTTGCAATGGTTGAGGCAATATCCCTGCTTCTGCAGCCCACTCCAACCTTCAGCATCACCTTGCTCTCAGAGGTAGCAATGCTCCTTTGCCTACCTCCATCCCCCAACTCTGTGCAGGTGTTTCTGTGGCACTGCACCTGACATAACCAGCTCTGCCAGGACCAACCAAGGTCTGAGCATACTCATACAACACGTAGATGGCCAGACCCCCATTTGGCTGGGCTGCCCACCAGACTGCACTCCTAAGGACCAGAGAAGACCACCTCATGGGGGCCAGCATGCACCCATGCACGAATTTTCTCTCTAGAGCTATAGGGGGGGTCTTGATGCATGTCGTGATAAACTTCCTGTTGCTGATGCAATACTTTGCTTTAAGGATACATTAAAAAAAAAAACAACCTGGTGCTGTGTGTGAATAATAAGACTGAAGGAATATATTAAAGCAAGCATAATTTTTTATATTAATGGTTTTTTAAATACAAGCATACCAAGCTACATTGGTTCTTGGGGCAAAGATATTCAGTGCTCACTTGAAAATACGTCAGGGAAAAAAGCCAACACACTGGTTTATGGTGTCCCCAGATAAGACAAATCATGATTATGCCATTGAGGTTCATTGGTGGAAATGGTCACCATAAGTTTCATGAACACCTGTCACTGCCTGTGGTAATCTGTAATTAAGTGTCTGTGGATGTCTGTCCAGGAGCCAAAATGTCATCTTCTGCATACAAGGAATACTTAAGCAGATGACCACTTCTGGAAAATCTGTGGGACGTATGCACATTTTTCTTTGAAAAGCTGTCTAGTGTGGTGCCATCATGTCTCAAAATGGGTGTTAGAGCAGAATAGGCTGCCTGTCTATTCCTGATGTGTGGTCTCTGCAATTTTCACCATGTTACTGCGTCCTTCTTAACTGCTAGAAAAGCTTGTTTGCTATCCTAAAGCAGCATCCCTCACATGCATGTTTTTACCTGTTGTTTCATGACACTTTGAAAATCAGTTCATTATTAATTTTTTCTTCAACTTTGCAATCGTGCTTAGGGCCTAATTCAAATAAACAAGGGAGCACCTCTTGGCCATTTGTGTACTTTCTCTTAATCTGCAAGCAGAAGTCACTGGTGATGCCTTGGTGTGGAAGCTGAAACACCTGCCCGGCATCTGTGGGAGAAATTATCCTATTCCTGTGTGGTTTTGTTTTTCTGCCTGTAGAACAAGGGTAAACAATGTTTCTCCACTTCTCTAAAATGCCTTGAATGCTACAGATGGAAGAGTTAAGCAAGAACAAGCATTGATAAGGAAACAGTCTGGGTGTAACTTGCAGCAAACTAAACCAGCTAACTGGCAGTTCAATGGCGGAGAAGGAAAATGGAGATGAGTTTCTCTCTGAATTTTGAGGCAAGCTTGGAATGGAAAGGTTGAGAGCACCCTGCATGCTGTCACCTCCCTTTGTCTAAATTACACCTAACCCAAGTGCTCTTGGCTCTCCTAATTGGTCAGAGGCAGCTCCACGTGGCATGAGCTGGAAGATGAGGTCCTGTTTGCCACAGGTATGCCTAGCCTCCAGCTGCACAAAAAGCTGTAGTGTAATAACTGTCTCTGTCCACAGCCTTGTGTCCCACCTCTAACGTAGAATGCTTGGCCCTTTAGAAACAGAAGTAGGAAAAGGGACACCATAGTTTTTCTTTGTCTGTTTGCCAATTAACCATTCACTGGCTTTTTTTGTTGTAACATGCACTTCCTCTCTTGTTTTCATTCAAGCTTTGTGCACCATGGAAATTAATGTGGAGAAAGACAAACAGACAGGAGAGACCAAGATTGTCTCTGCTTCACCTTTTGGCCCAGATGAGGCCCATCAAAGAGGATTCAAAGTCTATGATGATGGTACCAAGGTAGTCTGTGAGGTTCACTCTGGTGGCACAGTGGTAGAAAATGGAGTACATAAATTAAGCTCAAAGGACGTAGATGAACTTATGCAAAAAGCTGGACAATCAAGTGTAAAAGGAGGGTATGAAACAGTGACTGTGTCAGACAGAAATGCGGTAGCCGATGGAAACCTTAGCCATATGAAGGAGCAAATGCTCTTCAAGGAGGCAAAGCTGGAAATGGTACATAAACCCACCAAAGGGCATGCTGTGAACCCTCAGTCCCAGGACAAAACCTGCGGTGGTGAAGCCCTGGAGGCCAGTGCAGATCAGCCAGTGACAATGATATTTATGGGCTACCAGAACATTGATGACGAAGAGGAGACGAAGAAAGTGCTGGGCTATGATGAGACCATCAAGGCAGAGCTGGTCCTGATCGACGAAGACGATGAGAAGTCTTTGCGGGAGAAGACGGTGACGGATGTCTCCACCATGGACGGGAACGCTGCAGAGCTGGTCTCTGGCAGGCCGCTGTCGGACACGACAGAGCCCTCCTCTCCCGAGGGTAAGGAAGAGAGCCTGCCCTTGGAAGCCGCCCCAGGTACACAAAAGAAAAAGCGCTGTCAATGCTGTATTGTCATGTGAACACCTTCTCCTTACCGCTCCGGGCAGCTCCTGCTCCATCACTTACCTAGACATCACTGTACTTCTAGCTGCAATACTGTGAACTGGAAGTGAATGCCTTCATTGCCTTGCAGTTGGGTTGCTTTGCTTTCTAGTTCTTCAGGAAGAGGAGTGCATGGTTATTTTCCCATCAGATGTACTCTTTGGGGTTTGGGGAGGGGTTGGAGTTGGGGTTTTTTTGCTTCTATTTTTTTTGTTTGTTTGT